ATAGGGTTGTGTGTGTGGGTGTGTGTGTGGGGGGGGGGGGCAGGGATTTAAGTATGTTAAAATGTATACGCACACACACACACACACACACACAGACATGCATCAAGAGTTCAAAAAAGGAACCATCAATGTTATCAATAGCCAACTTAAAACTGTGAATGAACAGTTTTCATGCTTTTACTTTTTTCAATTTATGGTTTTCTAAGTTGACCATACATTTTATAAAAAGCTACAATGTTTATAGTTGTATTTGGTCCCTGAGACTCACTCACACACCACACGCTGCCCTGAGCCCAGAAGCACAGAGGAGCTCACAAGCGAGAGCTCCTTCCAGAGCCTGCTGTCCACCCACAGACCAGGCAGGGCCAGGAACGAAGGCTGCACGGCGACCGGCAGCAGCGGCTGGTGGTGCTGGGTGCGTGCGTGAGGAACAGGTCTTCAGGAAGTGACCTACGCGGAGGTCTGAGGACAGAGGGGAACCACGTGGACACGCGGGTGGTCAGGGAGCAGCAGCCAGGCGCCTGCGTGCAGGGACGAAGCCGTGGCCAGCCCATGCTCGGCTGGAGGCAGCGGGCAGGTCCCGGGGCGCTGTGTAACCGGGTGAGGACTGCGCCATCTCTGGGATAAGAAAGGCCTGGGCCTTTGAACAAGAGGCAGTAACAAGACTTCACTTCCATTTGGGAAGCACGGGCCTGGCTGCGGGGAAGAGAGGGGCCCGGGCAGCACATGAGAGAGGCAGCTACTGAGGAGCTATGTGTGCTGCTCTGTGACGACCGCGTTTGGGTGGAAAAGGCGGACATGGGGGACATTTCCCAGGTGGAGCCGAGAGAACGGGCCGATGCTGGGGGTGGAGGCTGCGAGAAGGAAAAGCGCCAGGAGCGCTGGCCGCAGATTCCCGGGCAGCGCTGAGGAGGCCGGACAGGGAGAACCCAGTGTTGAGCTGAGTTAACCCTGAGATACATGTCCGCACCCCCTGGACAGGTCGACCAGCGGAGGTCAGGGCCAAGGTCAGACTCAGGAGTAATTAACACACAGCTGCTATTCTAACTCCACAACCGCGCCGGGTCACCCAGGGAACACGGATTGACAGAGGGAAGGGCTCCAGGTCTGATGCCCCCAAACTGTAGATGTGAAGCCGGGGAGAAACCAACAGGTCAGCGTGAGGAGGAAGGAGAACCCACGTGGGAAGGAACGGAGGGGGACACCCTGGCGGTGACCCAGCGAAGACAGATGGAAGCAGCAGATGGCAACCTGGAGGACCTCAGCGCCTGTGACAGACAGTCCCCGTGAGGGAGCAGGAGCCAATGAGAGCCGAGGAACGAAGAGGGGTCGGAGGAAGAGCTGTTTCTTCAAGAAAGCATGCTGTGAGCAGGAGCCGACAGCTGGGCAGGCGCTGGGGACAGCAGGCTTCTCCCAGATGCTGGTGAGAACGCCCCCGGCCTGGAGGCTGCTGCGTGCGGCCCCAGGACGCCCCAACCTGGGCAGGGCCTGCGCTCTGCTTCACCCACAGGCCCCTGGAGGAGCCATGCCCTGCCAGCTCCCGCCTGAGCCTTCGGGAAACCTGCAAACCCCGCGGCTGCTGGGAGGCCCCAGGACGTCTGGCTGCCATGGAGACGACGGGGCGAGGTCCCACGGAGAGAACCTGAGATGACAGGGAGGTGGGAGGCCCAGCGGGCCCCGTGCCCTAGCACAGCCTGGCCACCAACAAACCCACTCGCCGAGCACGGCCACACAAGGAACCATCAGCAAGACCAGCAACTCGCTGCTCAGGTGCATCCAAACCACTTGCACGACTGTAAGCAGGAGCCTGCTCTTTCAGTCCAGAGTTTCGGGGTATCTGTTTCCCAGCAACAAATAACCAGAGTGAGAAGAGAAATAACTGATCACACAAGATAAGCCAAGTCCCGAGGAGGTAAGCTGACAGGTGGGAGCGAGGACCAAGGAGAGGGCTAAGGGGAGTGGGAGGCCATTATCTTCAGGATCGCCTGGCCGAGAAGGGCTGGGCACACACAGCACCGAAGAGAAAGCACAGCCCCCTCTGCTCAGGGGACACACAGCCTGCCCCTGCCCCCGCGTCGCTGAGAAATACAGGCCCCAGTTAGCTATGCGTCGCTGAGAGATGAACAGCCCACAGCTAGGACCCTGTGGAGTCTGCACAGCAGTGTATCGGGTCCACTACGATAACTCGCCCACGGTGCCTAGAACATTAAACCACCACGTCCTGTCAGGCAAGATGCCATCACCTACCTTGCTTGTTGGCAACGCTGTTCCGCTGTGAATATCGCCTCCCAAGTCAAAAGTTGTCTCCTGAACAATTCTGCCAAGATAAACAGAAAACACAGAGATGAAGACTCAAATGATCGGGCAGAGCCTCGTCCCAGTGACACAAAAGGAGCGGCTAGAGGAAGGCCCAGCGCCGAGATCTTCAGGACGGCGCTTCCCAGCAACGAAGCTGCAGGGTGAAAGTCGCGTCTCTGGGTGTGAAGAGAGCGGAGCCTGCAGAGTGGTCTCTGTGTGTCGCATCCTAAAGCAACCTGGCTCCCCTTTTCCGGATGCGATGGCCTTCCCGTGACGTGACGCCCTCACACGAAAACAAAGCGAAACAAAACGTTTCTACCGATTCTCACTAAACACTCTCAGGACAGTCTGTAAACCTACACTTAAGAACAGAAAACGGAAAGGAGCCCTAAAGAAAGAAGCAAGAGTCCCATCCCGTGAGCCTTGAGGCCGCAAACGGCACCGAAAGGAAGCAGCCGCCTCAGATGCCAGGAGCCGCCTGCTGAGGCCGTGTGATGACTTTTATGGGTCCTGCTGCTTAGGCTACAGAGAAAGAAATGGAGAAATTTGTGAACATGTCAGCAATCAGATCAGATCGAGAGCTCGTCTCGTTTAATCAATTTATCAAAACTGCTAAACCATCCTCATGAAAACTAATTCAGAATATAAACAAACTCTCATTCTAAACAGGCAATAACCTGGGCACACGGAGACATAGGCACAGGTGGAGGGCGAGGGGCCCCGGGTCCCGCCGGGCAGAGGCCCAGCCAGCGGGGAACTGAGCCCAGACACCGGGACACCGACAGCGGGAGCCAGTGCTTCCGTCCTGGGCGTCACCAGAGAAGTTAAATTCTCCCCTTTCTACGACATTTAAAAAGTACCCGAAAGACAGAAATATGGAGACGAGCTGAAACGCTCTTCGGGTGCTGGGCTCCGAGAGGAAGCCGCGGTCAGCAAGGTCCCGGGGGACACCATCTACGGTGCTGCCTGTGGAGACACACCCTGGGAAGGCGCGGGAACGAGGGACGTGAGGCAGGTGAACTCCTGTCAGGTCGTCTGGGGCCGACAGCAAGACGCTGACAATGAAAATGAAGGAAAGGGCCTGTGGGAGGACAGTGTGCTGCCGTCAGGAGCCGGGAAGGCCGGGCGAGAGACACAAGGGGGACGGTGACGAAAGCAGAGCTGGAGGAGGAAAGCCGGGTCCTCCCGGCCCTGGGTGCAGGGCGAGCTCAGACACGCGCTCGCGTCGAGCGGGAGCAGAGCCGGATCTTGAGGAGACAGCGCAGGCGCTGCAGGTTTTCGGGGGAACGAGGCAGCCTGGTCCTTTACAGAAGCTGGAGCTCCAGGGGAGAGGCTAGACACAGGCCTCCCAGCACCCCCGCCTACGAGTGTGTGTGACGATCACTTCCTCCCGAGGGGACAGGCCGTCCGTCCTCGCTTTCACCCTGTCCTTCGCCAGGACTCATCATGGACAAAGAATGGGCGGGGCAGAGCCCACTGCTAGCCAACAGCAGCAACCAAGTCGATGACGCCGACACTGCAAGACCAACATGCAGAGACCCCAACGCTCACAGCCGCCTAAGTCTAGGCTCCGGGGGAGCGGGGGTCTGAGCAAAGGGAGGTCCGGGAGGGAGCAAGGAGGGAGGCGGCGCAGGAAACCAGCACAGCTGCTCCAGGCTCTGCTCCTGCACGGCTTTCCCTTCATGCACATCCGGCTGCTCTGAACAGCATGAGACCCACACCCACCATCGTGTGAAATGCACACGCACACGCACACCCCAAGGCTAACCTCCCCAAACAGGAGGCCTTCCTGCTTCCCAGGAGGAGCCCCGCTGCGAGTCCTCAGACAGGCGCTAGGTGGAGCTCAAGCGTAAAAGACAGAGCCTTCCTTGAGGTGGTCCTGTCCCCTCAGTGACAGGAAAAGGAACCTCAACACAAAACCTCCTTAGGGAGGATCTTACACAGACACCGTAATCCTCACAGAAGAGCGAGGCAAGTATTGTTTGAAAGGATCAAACAAATAACAACATATTTTACAATAACTTAAAAACTAGCCACAACCCCGTGTTAGGATGAAGACCTTTCTTCTTCTTCCCTCTGAAACCAACCAAATAAACAAGAACTGGAACCACAAACCCACTTTGAGTTAAAAATTAAGACAAAATTAAAATCACGTGACCGATGCCTCGTTTGGAACGCCTCGCACAGTGGAGACACACTGTGCCCTTCTCAGAGGCAACGCGTCTCAGTGACTTACCCGGGTTTGTGTCTGGGGCCCTTGGCGGGCAGGCCCCCGTCCACGGGCCTCTTCACCAGAGCGTGGTCCTGGCTGGGGTCCACGAACTTGAACACGTGCTGGGCCCCGAACTGCACACTCATCCCGCTCTGCAGCATGGTCGTCTCCGAGATGCGCTGCCCCTCCACGTAGGTCTCCGCGTCCATGCTTCTGGGCGTGACGGTGACCACGCCGTCCATGTTCGTGAGGTCACAGTGATGGGGCTGAATTCCTGAGCCGAACAACTGAAACGGGAGGAAAAGTGCACAGAATGTAAACACAGACCCGGAAAGCTGCGGGTCCCCATGACGACGCCCGCACGGTCTAACAAGCTCCGGACTGCTGGCGCTCTTCAGTGGGTTCCCACCGCAGCGTAAAGACAAGTGAACACTGTCAAACAGCCGCACAGTCCCTTTTAGCAGCCAGGGCCTGGGCTTAGGGCAGGCTGTAGAGACAAGTGAACACTGTCAAACAGCTGCACAGTCCCTTTAGCAGCCAGGGCCTGGACTGAGGGCAGGCTGTAACTCGGCATGAAACAGCACATGGGCATTTCAAGGACTGCGAGAGTTAGTGGTCAGTCTGTACAGATGTAAGACTACAAGCTCCTGTGTGTCTGTTCACTGCTGTGCTGAGGAGGAAAGGATGTCAGAGCTGAACCCAACACCGACAGCTGGCCGTCGTTTACAACCAAGTCCACCTGGTGCAGCGATGCCCTGACTCTGCTCACTCACAGAGCCGCTGAGCTCGGGTCACTAAGCGCCCGAGAACCACGCCCAGACGACACTTGCACTGTGAGTCCTGAAGGCCTGCGACCCCAGGTGTTGCCCGGTGATGGGCACCGTCTCCCGGAAGCAGGCCTGTAACACCATCGCCATCACTGGGGACAAGCAGCAGTCTCAGGAACGTCATGGCCACCCCGTTTCTAGACGGGCAGTGTGGACAGAAGCGCACACTCTGCTCTTCTCACGCTGAGCAAAGAAAAGTGACCCCGAGTGAACAAGCTACTTACGCTTAAATACAGTCTTTCATGTTCACCCAGTTATCCATTCGCTCCCACCTGCTACCTCCTACCGAAAGGTGAGAATCACAAAAGGCAGCTGAGAGCGGCCGTCCGACGCGCACCTGGATAGAGCTGTCGTCAAACTTGTCTGTCCCGACCTCAGTCACACTGAGCTGCAGGCGGTAGAGCTTGGGCTTGTCTCTGGAGTCAGATCCGTCTGTGAGAAGCAAGTAAAAGGTCACCTTAGAAGCGACACCACACTCCTTCCAAATTCACAGCATGCGACTTAACGGGACACAGAACACGCAAACTAAACACATGAACGCATCAGCTTCTGCTGAGTATCATTCAAGGTGCTAAACACTGTCATTCATACCGACATTTTCTCATCAGGTAACAAGCATTGTCTCCCCCACAAGCCCCCCGCCCTGGGTTTTGTTAATGACTCTGGGGAGTGATCCCATCACCCAGGGCCTTCCCTGAGACCACGTCCCTCTGGCAGTGAACCTGCCCTCTACCCGCACCGGCCACTGAGCTGTGGGCATGGCTGGACCCCTGAGGCAGGTCTTCCAAGTGCAGCCTCAGGGGTCGCCCAGACCTCCTGGACCAAATCCTTGGGGAGGAGACCCAAACCCACGCCTTCTGAACCCTATCCCCAGGGGCTCCGCTCCAGGGAGCAGAGCTGTGGGAGGACAGAGGGCCCTGGCTTGCTGGTGTCACTCCATCCTCTATGATGTGTTGGAAATGTACACGTCCCTGCGCAGGACTTCCATGATGGAGGTGCTTGGGGAGAACAGTGCCAGGCGGGCTGGTTTCTACGCAGGCGTGTTGCCTAGGGCACCTACTCGTTCCCTCCCCTATAGAATGGCACCAGTCCAAGACCTGCTCTGATTTCAGAGCTGCCAGCACAGGAGGGAACATGCCCCAAAGGACCAATGGGTCCCAAAAGAGGTGGCCGTGGAGGCAGCCCAGCCGGCATACATCCGCTCCAGCCTCCCAGCAGCCCAGGAGCCGCGCGACCTACTGCACTAACGCCTGTGGCCTCAGGGCCTCTTACTAAGCCGCCAGCTACAATCTCTAGGCGCTGGCTCGGGGACGCCAGCGGGGAGGGCTTCTGGAGCTCAACATCTGGAGTGCACACTGGTTTCAGGCTGTGGTGTGGTCTCAGCTCTTGGACACAAGACGCCGTGCCTACACCAGCTCTGTGCAAACCGTTGTGATGTTAGTGTGCACAGTAACACCCACAGTGACAGCCCATCTCGGAAGCAGAGCAGAGGTCTGACATCCAGGCAAGGCAGGAGACACTGGAGCAGCACCTGAGACCCAGGTCAAAGTGCGCTAGGAACCGGGCGTCTGTGCTTGCTCACGGCTGGGCCACCCTCATGACATGGTGGCAGCTCCAAGTTCTGATCCAAAAGGAGGCATCAGCACCACCTGGGCTTTCCCTGGACTGGCACCCCCTCCAGCCCCGCTGAGTCCAGCGCCCCCACACGGCTATGACCCTGCCTGCTGCAGACACCAGGTGCCGGGTCCCTGTCCCTCCCTCCTTCCTACGGCCTCGCCTCTCAGCTCTGAGCTCCCTGGGGGATAGCTTTTTGGAGAAACCTCTCTATCCTGGTGCTCAGCAGTGTCCGGTCCACAGTATGCGTTTAATAAAGGTTTACTGTTAGCAGTCAGTAATTATTAACTAAAAATAAAGAGACAGAATAATGCAATATGGTCACAGCAATTACAAAATAAAGAAAACAAAAGACGCAAATAACTGATCAAAAACAATTATTTCAATACAAAGTGAAAAAAACACAGAAGAACATAAAAAACGTGTCTATTTAGGGGAGAAAGAAAGACTCGCGATGTGCTTGCACTTGAAGGGCATCGTGTGAGCTCACGGCCATCACCCCCTCTCCATGGCCACTTTCACATCAGCAGTGAGAGCTACAGAGAAAGGGAACAAACCCCTTTCCCAGCCCCTCCTTTCTGACCACTTCCAAGTAACAACAGGAAACACCTCCACAGACAGATTGCGAGCCACCTCCATGGTGGCCACGGACTCCGAGCTACGATGGTGTGTGTGTGCGTTCGGGGAGGGAGGAAGAGAGGGGGACGGAGGCACGGAAGCTCTGGTAGGTGCAACCTTTCCTCCTGCAACAGCACGGCCGGCCCCTTGCTCAAGGGTGACGACCCTCGCACAGCAGCCGCACACACTCCTCGCACCGAGTCCTCAGCGCCCCCACCCCCTAGGGCCTAGGCCCTCCACAGCCATACACACTCCTCGCACGAAGTCCTCAGCGCCCTCCCCCGCACCGCCCCCCCGGCCCTCCACGCTGTCCCCTCGGCAAAGGCAGAGCCCCTTCCCAGTGGAAAACCCTCTAAGAGCCCTGCCACACAGAGCAGTGCTTGTCCCAGGACGTCTGAGATCTGCTCACTTTTAATTCTGTCTTAAGAATATGTGACATGTGCACGTGGCTCCCAGTGCGAAGGGCACGGGCGGTGCCCAGTGAGTGCCCTCCCTCCACCCCCCTCCCAGAGCCAGGCTTCCTTCCACAAGCCGTTTCATGCATCTGTCATTCAATAGCCGGAAAAGGGTTCCTCTTTCTCCTTTTTGGGGGGCAGCAGAAACATTAGAATATTACTTAGGGTTGTCAAATGAAATACATGACATCCAGTCACGTGTGCAATATCTGAGATAAACTTACACTAAAAAACTGATGTTTTACCCAAAATCCAAATTTATCAGGGTGTCGGAGTTATCTGCCAACCTGAGGTCCCTGAATCACTACCACACGTGCTGCGCCTTGTCTGTAACAGGAAGTCCTCTTTAGCGTGCTACCTACTAAGGGGGAGCCCCTCACGGGCAGACAGGAGCACGTGTGCACTCCCAGAGCCAGGCTTCCTTCCACAAGCCGTTTCATGCATCTGTCATTCAATAGCCGGAAAAGGGTTCCTCTTTCTCCTTTTTGGGGGGCAGCAGAAACATTAGAATATTACTTAGGGTTGTCAAATGAAATACATGACATCCAGTCACGTGTGCAATATCTGAGATAAACTTACACTAAAAAACTGATGTTTTACCCAAAATCCAAATTTATCAGGGTGTCGGAGTTATCTGCCAACCTGAGGTCCCTGAATCACTACCACACGTGCTGCGCCTTGTCTGTAACAGGAAGTCCTCTTTAGCGTGCTACCTACTAAGGGGGAGCCCCTCACGGGCAGACAGGAGCACGTGTGCAGGCACGTGTTCCACCCATGGCTCTGCCCTCAGCGGCGTCCAGAGGAGCCTCTGGGAAGCAGTGTGTGGTGCGGAGTGTGGACGCGGGCGAAGAGCCTCCTGTGTGGCAGGGGACCCGGGAGAAAGTGAGCAGAGCTCACATCTCAGTGAACCAACACAGCGGCGGAGCCACTCCCAAGGGCTGTGAGGCCACTGAAAGGTTCTGCACGGGCAGCCCCCAGCTTCACTGGGAGAACATGACCCCTCGAGCGACGCTGGCGTGAGAAGCAGTGCACGCGGCCGAAGCTGCTGACACCCTCCATGCATGTGGTGCAAGCAGGGGAAGGAAAGTCCTGTCGCTCCATCACCTCAGAGTATGAAATTAACAAACACGTGGAATCATTAAAGAACTCTCATAAGAACAAAAGCACGCCTGAGCCTCTGCTTTATGTATACAGAAATATCAAAATAGGTAAAAAGAATACCACCTGTTTATATTTTAAAAAAACACACACAACAAAACCCAAATTCCAAGTTTGGCTAATAGCTAATAAAAATCTATATGATCAGTATGGAGAAAATTAAACTAAAATAAGATGGTAAAAAGTAAATAAACTTCACAAAGCACGGAAAGTACTTGTTAGATTTAATACGTAAAAAATATCTACTCTAATAAAAAAGAAACATGCAAATTGACCATACCTTCACTACGTCCCAAGCCATGCCCACCAGCCAATCAGAGCAACTATATGCAAATTAACCCAACCAAGATGGCAGCTGGCAGCCATGGTGCTGGAGCAAGCAGGAGGCTTGGTTGCCCCGGCGATGGAAGAAGCAAAGCTTCCCGTCTGCCCTGGCCCGCTGTTGCCTCCGCTAAAGGCAACAAAGTTTCAATTATAGAAGATAAATAAATCCCAGATACCTGCTTCCAGCCAGCCTCCACTGGGAGCTTGGGTGGCTGGGGGCCGTGGCCAGCCTGCAGCTATCAGCCCCTCACCCACCCAGGATGGCCACACCCTCATGGGGTGAG